AAATCAACAACCAGCTGCTAAAACACAATTGCAACCTGAAGAACCGCCATCTCCCACTTCTAGTACTACTTCAAGTAAGGACCAAAGGGAGATAGCCGAAGCATTAGCTCCTTCAACAAAGCCTAAAGCCGCCCCCCAAGCAGCAGTTTCAAATACTCAAAAAGCGACAGCAGCTGCATCTGAAGCTACTAGCCAATCTATCCCAGCTGAGGAGGTTGAACCAATGCAGACTGAAGCAGTGGCATCCTCTTCATCGACTGAAGATACAAACCCTCCCCCAAAAGAGACAGTCATGGAGGAAAGCATTCGGGTTACACGTGCAAGGTTGAGGAAAGCTCGTTCTGCAGGCCGCTGAAGCAGCTCCTTTTTCAAATTTTTAGCTTTGGGAAGCCAGCTTATAAACAGTAGGTGGGACCAAGGGATGGTTCTTGAATGGTTGTAGTAGACTGATGTAAATTTGTGGCCCTCTAGTTTCTATTCCATTTGTTTCATTTTTTCTTTCAAAACGCGGTTCAGCCGATAAAGGGTTCTGATTTAACAATTCTCAGAAATAACGTGATGAAGTCGCATCTGATATCAGAGTTGGAGTTGAGTAGAAAGGTGAATCCCGGTTGCTGTTGATTGATGTATGTAAACTTGGGTTGTAAGCGTAGTTTAAGATAACATCTAACTGAAAGTGACATACTCTTATTGTTAGCTGGGTCTTATCAGGTCTGATTTTCCAGGTAAAATTTCAGTCATTGTCATTTCTGATATATATAACAAACATCTAACCAAGGGCAAGAGGTGGTATTTTTTTGAACTTTGGACGTGGTTTGTGTTGTTGAAAATGTTGAAAGCCGTACATTTGCTGGTTATATGCCCATCAAGATTGAGATGGGCCAGACAATTGGGCTTCCTTTAACCCATCTAAATTCCAAAGAATACATTTTCATAGCCGAGGATGGAGCCACGTAGGGGAAAACATTGAGCTTGTGTTGTGAACTTTTGTGATAGATAAAGCTCTCCACTCGGCTGTCTGGTGGTTGATATGAGAGCCAACTGTGAACCCCACATATCCAAATCCACCATCGCTTGGTCCTTGGTTTCGTTTCTACCATCATTCCATTGCGTTGTGTTTCTCTGTCTGTCTTGTTCAGTTTTGAGTTTCAAGTAAAATGCTGCAATATTTCTCGTGGAATTCTAAGTCTTACTAATTTGTTTGTAGTTTGTATACCAGAAAATTGACCTGGAAATGTCACTAGCGCCCTCAATTCCCCGCCTTCACTCTCCCTTCCTCTGCTGCCCCCTCAAGCTCTCCACGTCTCCTTCTTCTTTATGTATATCCCACAAATTTGCAGGAAATCAACGGTCGCCCAGGTCCTATCCATGCATTAGAGCTCTGGATCTTGATCAAAACACGGTTCTTTCCTCCCACTCTTTTCCTTTCGAAATCAAGTTTCTACTACTTTCCCAATTTTGAACACATTTCTTTTAAATTCTGGAAGAGTTTTCTATGGCATTTGAAATTAGCATGAATCTCAGGTTGTGGCAATCTCAGTTGGGTTGGTGAGTGTTGCAGTTGGGATTGGCATTCCGGTTTTCTATGAAACCCAAATTGATAGTGCTGTGAGTAATTGCAATTTCCCCTCTACTCTATGTATCAAATTATAATTAATTAATGAAATTTGTAGTAAAATGGCGTGTTAATAATACTTATTAGATACTAGTTGTACTAGTTGCAGCTTCTAATTAAGGTTAATGTTAATTGCAGGCAAAGCGAGACAACACTCAGCCATGCTTCCCTTGCAATGGAACTGGCGCACGTAAGTAATAAAGAAACTGTTTTTTTTTCCCTTTAATTTTTGTTTAAATATATAGAGTTATATATGCGCAAGTAGTAAACCATTTTACCTTCCTTGTAGTAGCTGTGTTTTTAATTTATCAAATGTTGTGAAAATATAAATGAATGGTGAGTTTGTTTGTAAACAAGTTGTAGTTTTGGTCTTCTCTGTCGCAGAAAAATGCAGGTTTTGTACGGGAACTGGCACAGTCGTAGTGGAGCTTGGTGGGGATGAGAAAGAAGTGTCTAACTGCATTAATTGTGACGGGGTGGGTTCGTTTACTTGCACCACATGCCAAGGTTCTGGGATTCAACCTCGCTACCTTGATCGCAGGTATTAATAATATTATTATTATGGGATCATTTCATGTGCAATTTTTGTTTTTAGGTTTTGTTGTGCGTATGATTCTTAGAAAGTGGCAACTAACTTATGTTTTGTGTTCTTGTGTTCTGTTTTGAACAGAGAATTCAAAGACGATGACTGAAGTCTGCGAAGAAGAAGAAGTAACTGGGATATTGGATTCTCTTCCAAGTTGAGGGATAACTTAAAAGAGGAATTATATATATTGAGAAGAAATCTTGAGTGTTTTTGGTTCTTTTCTCTACTCACCTTTTCAACATTGATGTGTCCAATTGCTTTCATACCTTCATCTGATCCACGCATGATTGATTCTCTTCCTTTTTGTTTTATTTATGAATAAGATGAAACAAGAATTAGTTTTGTTATGCTCTGCTTAATTTACATCAATCAGCGAAAGCTGGTGCTATACTAACAAATGTCAGTAGTTTTTGTTTTATGTCCATGTTCCTCTAGATTGTGGTGCTAAACTAACCAATTTCAAATAATATTTGAACGAAATCAAATAATAATAACCTAAGCATAATCTTGATAATATTAAAGTGATGCGAGTTTTTATTTTTCTAGGGTTTAAAGTAGTAAGGCCCCGTTTAGTTCATGGGAAATGAAACTTTGGGATGGGAAATCAATTGTTTTCCCATGTTTGGTAAGTCAGGCATGGGAAATCGTTGTCTGGCACATGGGAAAGTATGAGGGAAAGTGAAGCCATCCTCCCTCCTTGGGTTTTACTTTCCCTTCTCATGGAAAAGTAAGGCTAGCATTAAATGCACCTTTTTTCTGACTAATTTGTCCTTACTAATAATTTATAATTACAGTTTTATCCAACAACTATTGGTATTCCTTTTTTATTTTTTAATTCATAACATATTTTTGATAAGGGTAAAATTGGGAAACTAAACAAAATTAGCTTTCCATTCATACTCAAAACAAACATGGGAAAGGAAATAAAGTAATATTTTCAAGTTACTTTCTCGGCATTACCAAACATGGGAAATGAATCACAATTTCCCATCCCTTGGGGAAATGACATGGGAAATGATTTCCCATCAAATCCGTTCTGTGAACCAAACGGGGCCTAAGGGTATTTTTGGAAGGTAGTAAGGGAAAAAATGAATGGGAATCGAATCAATTACCCTTTCCTAGTTAATCTGATTCTTGGTTTTGAGGGAATGTGATTACAGATTTTGAAGTGGGACCTACACATTTTTTCATTCATGATTGCAAGTAAAAGCAGGGAAAGTAAGGAAAGGAAATCATTCCCTTTCTTCTTATACCCATTACTGATACGTAAACATGCCCTTAGTTTTCTCTCCCATTTCCACCTTTATATCCATAATATTCAAATTGGGGATTCCCATCCTTGTCTTTATTGGGGAACAAGTTCCTCATCACATCTCCTTGCAAAAACACCAATGAAATAATGAGTTTTGAATGAGAAAAAAAAAGTTAGAGCATATTTAGGGCAGCAGACAATAGGTAAATTTTGTTTTAGACTTATATATATATTATTTAATTGAATATCTATATATATAAAGCAAAAGGTAAAGAATGGTGAAACATTCAAAATACCAGAAAATGCCCTTTGTTAATACAAACATTAATAATTGAAATTATTAATTATGTTTGTACCATATCTGACCCTCCGTTCATACAGCGACACGTGGATCTTAGAAGCTTACCCAAGCGCCCAAGGCTCCGAACAATCAGCATCGGCTACCGTTGATATCGTCTCAAGTGGGCAAAAGGTCGCTACAGGCCCAACATAGACTACAATCGGTATCTCCTACCGATTCTGCAGAATCAACCTCGAAGCACCCGCCTGAAATATCTAAAGACTCGTGTCGACTTCATAGGGCCCTCCCACGAGTCCCACATCGAAATTAAGTACTAAGAGCATACAAGATGCCCTTTATAAATAGGCCCCTTCACTACAATACAGGGGTAAGACTTTTCAGCTTGACTTTTATACTAATATATTGTCAACAGCAAAGGCTCTTAGAAAACAAACTTACTTTAGCATCGGAGGGTCTTAGGCTGGTTCCACACCGGTTCCATAGACCTCACGAGCCTCAACTCTCTTTTATTCAGGATCTGCATCCAAGGACAAGAAGAATCTACATCTATCACTCAATCGATCTGTTAGATCGTCCTCACCACTTGTAAGTTGCACTCATCTTTATCTGTTCAGTTTTGGTGCCAACAATTAAATGAGGATAATATGGTAAATTCACACTTTTTTATATATAAAAAATTAAAATTAATAGAAAAATCAGATAATGGATCCTATTTTTATGGAACTCAACTACTCATTATCTTTTTTAATTCTAAAATAAATTTTAAAAAATTTTAAAAAGCCTCTTGCAGGCGCTAAAACGCGTGCTGAGAGGCTAGTATAATATAACATGTGCAATATAAAATTTTGCAGGAGCTATAGTACACGACTAGAAGCCAACCAACAATATATTTATATTTAAAATAATAATAATATATGGTGTGTTTGAGTTGGAGATTAGAATACCATACCTGCCTCGCCCCTAACATCATATGCGAAAATTTTCCCAAACCCGTCTCCATAACCGATTTCCCATTAAGATCGAAATCTCAAGAACACCCTAACCAGTGTGGAAAATTGCCATCCCACTTTGACTTGCTATTTAACTAAAAGAAATACAACAATAATAAACAAGAAATAGGTTGGGCTTAAGCCAACTCGTCCACGTTTAAATAAATTTTGTTGGCGAGGCCCGAACTTGGACAGCCCAGCCCATGCGTATTGTGTTGGACAGCTTACTCGTCTTCCTCTGGCCGCCTCTGAGTAGTAGTGGGAGTTTGAAACGTTGGTGTGGGTGGGTGGTACCTGGCTTTCCAACTAGGGTTTTTGCAAGGCGAGGGTTTTGGGAAGAGAGGGATGTTGTACATCGTAGGATTGGGATTGGGGGACGAGAAAGACATCACTTTGAGAGGCTTAGAAGCAGTGAAGAAATGTGACCAGATTTTCATAGAAGCCTACACATCCCTCCTCTCTTTTGGTCTCTCTTCCGACGGCCTTTCCACTTTGGTATCACTTTTCGCCCGCACTCTCTCTCTCTCTCTCTCTCTCTCTCTCTCTCTCTCTTGCTCTATTTGTTTGCAAAACGTGTTCGATTTCTGAAGAAATTTCAATGGACAGGAAAACTTGTATGGAAAACCAGTCACACTTGCAGATAGAGAAACGGTGGAGGAGAAGGCCGACCAAATTCTAAGTGCAGCTGCTGCTTCTGACGTGGCTTTTCTTGTAGTTGGAGATCCTTTTGGGTATGTCCTCTTTCCTTCCTAATGTGTACAAGTGGAGCATTCTCCTTGTTTTGGCTTTTCAATTTGGTTATCTTTTGAATGGCATCTTATTATGTTATATATTTCTTTCCAAAGAATTGTTTTTGAGAAGTAACTAAAATTTGGTTCCCAACAACTTTATATTTTAATTGAGTTATTTGATCACTTGAAGAAGTAGAATATAGGACTTATGATTGAAATAATGGGCGAGTTATTTGATCAATCAAGTTTTTCTGAATATACAATCCAAAAGCAATAAGGAACATCTTTGTACGCTAATTACTGCACTCTTTTCTTGCATAATTTGATCTGTAACACAGAGCTACAACTCACACTGATCTTGTTGTTCGAGCCAAGAAGTTGGGGATTGATGTCAAAGTGGTACATAATGCATCAGTGATGAATGCAGTTGGAATCTGTGGCTTACAACTCTACCACTATGGAGAGACAGTTTCAATTCCGTTCTTCACTGAAACTTGGAGACCTGATAGCTTTTACGAGAAGATTCAAAAAAATCGTGGGCTTGGACTGCATACTCTCTGCTTGTTAGGTTGGGTTCTTCATACTTCCTCATTTAAAGTGTGACACGAACGATGCTTATCTTGCTTGAAACTTTCATCACAAATTATTTTTCACTGTAGATATACGAGTGAAGGAACCTACTCTGGAATCTTTGTGCAGGTCCGTGTTCAAATGATTGACTGCCTTCTCTTTGATTTTAGCTTGGAAGGATTTACTGTGTCTTATTTTTATGTGTTTTGCTTCTTCTGTTGCATAAGCTTATTTACTTTTTTCTGCCTCCCTTGAATCTTTCAGAGGAAGGAAGCAGTATGAACCACCTAGATATATGTCAATAAACACTGCAATTGAGCAGCTTTTGGAGGTTGAGGAGAATCAAGGAGAATCTGGCAAGGGTCCCAAATTTTTCATATATTGAGGCCTTCACTTTCAAACATAAATGTTATCCATTGTCTGGCTTGTACACAACTTAAGACAACTTCCAGTTGCTGTAGTTTTGATTCTTGGATTATCTTGCAGCATATGATGAAAACACCATGTGTGTTGGGCTTGCTCGGCTGGGAAGTGAGGATCAGAAGATAGTTTCTGGTACAATGAAGGAACTGCAGTCGGTTGATTTTGGAGCACCTCTTCATTGTCTTGTCATAGTAGGCAAGACCCATCCGGTGGAGGAAGAAATGCTGGATTTTTACAGACTTAAAAAACAGAATGTGGAAGAGAACGATCATGGCACTGTATGATTGTATCTTTGGAAGGTGCAGTTGTACTTGCATGTTCGTGTTTTGGATTTATGATTTGTCCATTCGTTTGCCTTTTCTCGTTGTAAAGCACTTATTCAAGAACTAAATGGACTTGACCTGATCTATCTTTCGACCGTACTGCATGTACTGTTTGTAGCAGAGACAGAAGAGGAGGCTATTCTTAATTGGCGTCAAAGAGAGTTCAGAAGATAAATGGTTGCGGATGCCACTTGCCGTCTGTCTTTGGTTCTGTTACCAGCTTCCAAGTCATGCTGCACACTCCGATTAGTTTTGTAATGAGTTTAGTCAAGTTGCTGTAATACACATTTCATGTGCCATATTAATTTCACTTATCTTGAATTTTGAGCCAAATATAGTTGTCATGATATTGATCTCATTCTTTGTATACTTACTAAGAGATAAAAATGAGACTTGCTAATTTGGAACCCATTAATGGTAAAGCCAAACCAGATTTTATGTGGTGTACAGGCTCATGCGAATGCTTCTTTCAATTTGTCGATATGGTTGAGCCTCAAGTTCAACTACTCGGTATATGAAAAATATGGGACCTTTTGTCTATCTGAAGGCCACCGTACCCAAATGGTTCTAGTCCCAAAAACTTGCTATCCGAGGAGGTCTTTTTGAAGACAAACAAACTCCTTATATTGTTAATACATGCCCAATTCTGCTGCTTGCAAATTCTAAGGGATGAACAAATTTCCAACAATCCTGAAACCATATATCATAATAAAATCCTAGCTATGTCATTGAAGATGAGGTGCCATTTTTATAAGTTTTCACTAAAAGGAAAAGTCATATTATGACCATGGGTAATGAGTTCACACCCTAACCCCTAACCTCTAACCTCTATCCTTTAGCCAAAAAGTTCATCTCCTAAACTCTAACCATAGGTAGTTTTACTGCACTTGGCTTGCAACCAAGTCAACCGTATTTGACTGCCTTTTAAAGAGAGGAAGGTCTCCCTTAAATTAGGGTCCTCAAACAGGTCCAGTGCCGAAAAGTAGAGCTGTTCGCCAATGCCTTCAATCTCATCCAGTGCTCTAATACAATTTGTTATCGAAAATTTGTCACTAGGCATTGCTGTGGCTCTCCTCAACTTCGAGGCAGCAATCATCTCTCGCATGGCTTGTGCCATGGTATCACATATTTCTTGATCCCTTCTGCTTCTTTGATCCTCTGAAGAGTGTGTCTCAGATGGACGTTTCCTTTTTCTCTCTGCTATAACCTTGGCCACCTTTTCTGCTGATAATGCATTTCCTTGCACAGGCTTTGAGGATGGTGGGATTTCAGAATGAGGAGGGGCTTCACTGTCAGGATAGGAACTCAAACCTGCATTGTCTATTCCGGCGGACTTGTCCAACCCCTCATAGTGACTAGATTGGGCATACTTCCCATCAGCGGTTGAGTCTGCGAATATCATGCAGAGCTGATCATATATGGGACAGTCCTTGACTTTAATTGTTTCAGGCCTAGGCTGTACCCCAAGGTCTTCCCACAGGTGAGCAAACTCGATACAACAAGAATCATCCAGAGTGAAGTCATTAGTTTGATCATAAGCTGACTTGAGACCGTAGAAGCGCGTCCTTAGAACATCCAAGTGCTTCCTCAATTGATTGTTGTTGAAGTTCAGATCTGTTTCCCTGTTAAACTCGTCACGAATAATGTTCCATGTTTTCTTGTCGAAGACATTGTTGGGTCTGTTTCCCAATTGAATCTGCTTAACAACCAAGTCTGCGAATGTCTTATCAAGGGAAGCTGTCCACCTAGTCCTTGAACGTTCTTGCTTGGGTTGATGACTGCCTTCATTGTCCATCTACAACTACAAAAAGTGCATCTGAAATCAATAACATTCCACTTATTAGTATGCTATGATCATCCTAAACACTAGACAATACAGACTCTACAGAGCATAAAGTTATTGTAGTATCATAGAAATTTCCCAATCAGCATTGAAATGAGTGAACTTACATGCGTTGAATGAAAACAAAAACCTTTTCTTTCTCATCATTTGAAATTGCGTAAAATTCCCTTGATTCAACCAGAATGTAGGCAGATTAAAACCCTAAAAACAATAATTACAATGCTCCAAGAATAAAACATCCCAATTAATAATATCAAAAGACAAGTTTTTTCCCAGACAATCAGATTATACATATTATGCATGTTATATACAAAACGCTAAACAAATTGGAGAATTCAGTAACAGAATCCTACGTTCCGAGAGAAAAATCAGAATACAAAATGGGGCGGAGACTGTAGACGAATTGTGTAATAAACAATGACGACGAAACCAATAGTGGAAGAAAGAGGTTACCTGTCTCCGGGATATCGCCGTGAAATTGTCTGAGAGAGTAGCCTCTGCTTCCCAGTCTCTTTCTTTTCTTTTTTTTTTTTTTTTTTTTTTATGGTTCTATCGGAGAAAAATGTGGGAGGGGTTTATGCTCCTGGTCAACGTTCAAGGTGTATTGAGATGGAGGACATGGCAGGACGTGATTGGTTCGGTTCGCGCTCGTGCATCAGTTACTCTAAGAGACGCAGTGCGCTAAACGGTGCGTTCTGGCAATGAATATTTGATATTTCCAATTTTCCTTTTTCGTAGAGATGTGATGTGATGTGATACATATTTCGTAAATAATAATAACAATTTGCCGGAGGATTAATAATCGGAAAAGCACCAAACTGACAGTTTTTCCTTTTTATTTAAAATCTTTATTAAATGTGGTAGCTTACAATACTTTTAGAGGATATGCACACTGAATAAGACAAGCATTGCTGCAACCAAGGTCTAAAATATTGATGGTATCGAAAATATCAATACTCCAAAAACACGGAAATTTCGATGAAAATATTGAAATATTATCGATATCGATAAAAATTGAATAAAAGCCACGGAAATTGTAAGAAAAACTTGGAAATTTTTATTGAAACTTTGGAGGATGTTTATTTAGTTAATTATCTATTAGTTTATCACAAAAAATTGGAAGGAAATGCATTGCATGATGGGTTTAACTGATTTAAGTTGATTATATAGCAAGCTCATAAACACTGTGAGTATAGAAAATATATAGTAATTAATGAAAGAAGATTAAACACACCATAATCATTTATATATAATGATTTACTACAATATTTTACACTTTATACATTTCATAGTAAGATACATGAATGACTTAGTACTACGTAGAGTTCCTATGAGGTTCATATTTTTCACTATCTTCATCATCTCTATGTGTAAAACAATATAAATATACATATTTTAGCATATTATCACAAAAACATAAGCAACATGGTAATTAAGAAATTAGAGGAGTGAAATGGCAAGGATTTGAATCCCTTTTGTGTGTGTGTTTTGTGTTTTTCTTTTTTTCCATTACATCTATATTTTCAATATTTTCGATATTATAGCGATATTTTGACAAAATATTGCTGAAGTGTGAGCGAAATTATCGACATCAATATTTTTTGATATTATCGATATTTATACGATATGTGTATGGATACGTTCCGAGATATCCGTGACTCGAAAAAAAGATAATATCCTCGATATTTCGTCGATGTTATCGATATTTTAGACTATGGCTGCAACATATAACTATCAAAGTATCATTGATTATGATTGATAATCTACAACTACAAAAGATGTTTACACTTGGCCTTAAGCCATGCCAATTTGATCTCACTTTTGATGCATATAAATGTTTCCCTCCGGTCAGGGTCCTGGAACAAATCTGAAGCAGCCAGATACAGCTCTTCATCAACCCCTGCCATCTCATTCAATACTTCAATGCAACTGGATATCGAGAATCGATCACCACTATGCACTACAGCAGCTGCTCCTGCTGCTCTCTTGTTTGTTGAGGGAACCTCCTCATGTTGGGAAACAGCATCCACGTTTGTGTTACTAGTTTCCCTACACACTCTCCTCTGACGACTTGAGCTGAGCGTTTGTGTCTTAATCCGCCGCTTATTTCTTCCACTAGACATATTCACTTCTTCAGATAGTCGCGATGATGCCTCATCGACTGCAGGTTCAGGTTCAGCAGAAACACTAGCAGTTTCTGGAGTGCCCACCACATTGACTGTTTGTTGATTCAGCTTCACATCATGACTTGAGAGAATGTACGTCTCTTCAACTTTTGACTCTGAAAATAATGTGCATAACTGTTTGAAAATTGGGCACTCCTTGTTTCTAATTGTTTCAGCCTCAGGATGTGCCTGCAAGTAGAATAACGCAAGCAATGTTCGTCATTGCAATGACAACGTAATGGAAATTAACTTGAGATGAGATATGCAGAGGGCATACCGTGGTGTACTTTTCCCACAATTCATCATCAGCCATTACCATATTTCGAGAATTATCCCAACTAAAACCACTTTGATCAAGAACCGACTTTATGTTGTTGTACAACCTTTTAAGAACATTTTGGTGATTCCTCAACTGTTCACCATCAAACTGCAAACCTGTTTTGTAATTGAATTCTTCCCGTATATGTTTCCACGCTTTCTTGTTGGACATTTTATTTTGCCCAGTTTGCTCAATCAACAAGTCTAAAAGTATCTTATCCAGTGGCGCTGACCACTTTGCTCTTGATTGATCTTGCTTGAATTGATCTTCACTAGGCGGACTATCCATCTACAATATATTCCAAGAAACAAAACCCGTGCAAGTTAAAAGATCCGGTGAATAATTTCATTGCATCAACGATTAAGAAAGAAATGAACAGAACAAGTACCTTTGAAGCAGCTGTCTGTGATTCAGGGAAACCATAATTTCCAGAACTGCCTGGCTCTGAAAATATCCTGTCTGACTGTTCATAATGCGGACATCCTTTGACTCTTATTGCCTCAACTTCAGGATGCTTCTGTAAAACCAGATGAGAAACATATTATGGAAAATGATGAGGTAATTCATGTAAGTATGATTCATGTAGAGTGAAACTAACCTCAATGCATTTTGCCCACACATCATTCTCAGCAATTACCATGCATCGAGACTTGTCCCAACTAAAGCCATCCTGATTAAGAAGTGACTTTACACCGTGGTACCACCTTCTCAAAACACCATGATGATTTTTCAACTGCTGCTTGTCGTAATTTAACTTTGTTTGTCTATTAAATTCATGGTGTATATACTTCCAAGCTTTGTTGCTAAAAGCATTGTTCGACCTATTCTCTTGAAAAACCTGCTCAAGCATCAAATCTACAAATATCTTCTCAAGAGGCATAGTCCACTTGGCCCTGGGCTGGTCTTCATCTATCTAAAATGAGTGGAGTATTAATTACTTCTACTGAGGCAGGAGGAAGGAAATAATGTATGACGTTGACATAGAAAACCCATGAAAACGAACAAAAGTACCTGATGCACGGCTGTTCCTAAAACGATGAAGGCATGATTTTCATTGGGTATGGAGTCTGATGAGAAGATAATGCATAGCTGTTCATATATATCACAGCCCCTCTTTCTGACAGTGTCAGCCTCAGGATGTGCCTATGCATTATATAGATGGCATTACAAGCCTTATAGTATTTATGAAACATTGAAGTTATAAGGGGGAAGAAAATCTACCTCAATGTACTTTTGCCATACATTATCCTGAGCTAGGAGCATAGACTGAGAAGCATCCCAAGTAAAGCCAGGGTGATCAAGAATTGCCTTCACAGAATTGTATCTCTTCCTCAGAACATCGAGGTGGTTCTTCAATTGTTGTTTATCAAACTTGAGACCAGTCTGCCTATTGAATTCATCTCGGATAATCTTCCATGCTAACTTTGAAAAAGCACCACTACTCCTATTTCCTTTCCGTATTTGCTCAACCAGCAAATCTGCAAATATTTTGGTGCAAAATGTTGTCCATTTGGCCCTCGATTGGTCTTGATCCGACTGACACACAACCATTTATTCGATAAACGCACCTCTATCACTGTGATATATCAAAAGAAACGTCAGAACTAGAGGAAGACCAATTTTTTTTTATCACTACCAATTAAACAAAGAAGATAGACGGCATTGACGATGAACTTAATCTTCCAAGCTTCTTCACATTGTCATTGAACTAGTTAATTACTTCAACTGTAAATACTCACTCAGTATCAAGTTGGTAACAGCTTATATATGATATAATATTGCTTTGGAAGCTTAGAGCTTTACTATGCACAACCACTGAGACCAAGATATAAACAGTCCGACGGTGCAAAACTGATTACATTGACTTAATTATAAGATTCACCAATACATACCTAAAATTTATTTATTTAAAAGAAAAAAAGAACTAGAAATTGTTCTGCACTTGGGTTGATCAGAAAATGAAAAGAAATCCCCAGCCACCCCAAGAAACTAAAATCTTGAAATAGAGTGGAACAGAAAATTATTGTTTGATTCGTTCGCTCAGCAATCGAAATGTTGCATTGATCAAAGGCAGAGAATTTTCAGAAACAACATACCTGAAAAGAATCAAAGTGGTTCTTGATGATCGGGAGCTGTCTCTGCCGTGAAATGTCGGCCGTCAAATTAGATATATGGTGTAGAAGAAAAACAACTGATGATGAATACTAATTCCAAACAGAACACCCGATACTGTAGTAGAAGACTTCATCGGCAAAAAGAAAACACTAGTATAAGACAAGACACTGTGAAACTAAAAACGCGATAAGGATAAAAGGGTTACTTTTTTTATGCGTTTATGAAATAAACGAACGGTTTTTCGAAAGCAGCGGGTTTCTTAGGCAAAACGCATAACTTTTTGGTTTTAATTTTTATCTTTTTATATTATTTTCTTCATTGATGGTAATTTGTAACAAAATATTTTCCAACAAAAAGAAAAAAGAAAAAGTTTATAAAAAATTTATTGTCCATAGAAAATGATTGGACTGGACTGCTGGTCCAATGAAGCAATATTGTGACCTGGCACAACGCTCTAACCGAAACTTGGTTGGTCGATTGCACAATTGCACCAGAATTTGGCCCACTTTAGCCACGTCATTCGGATGGCAGACACGTGATATCACACCAAAAAAGTCCTTAAACCCAACCCAACCACTATGCCAGGGTTTAGGGTCCGCTGTCAATTTGTTTCACTGTCCTGTCGGTGGCCAGTTAAAATCATCTGGTCCTTTCCTTTGGTGATATATCAACGGCGGTCACGAGTCTTCTTCACCTTTGACTTAGTCAAACACAGATCTAGGCATCTCAGCTTGCCACAAATGCCAAACCCAAGCTTCGTTCGCCAGTCCGCCTGGAGGGGCATTCCCGTCATTGTACGGGAGAAACCCAACCCACACTCCAAAAAAACCCAGAAAAAGCCGGTGAAATTAACCTTGTCGCGTTGTCGGTGCAATGCCCAGTCCAACAAACAATAAAGAAAAACAAATATCTGCGTTTCCGATCCGAGGGAGCGCCAATCGATGCTTAATTAGAGTCTCTGTTTCTAATTAACCACATTTTCTACCAAAACCTCGATTATTGTTTTTCACAATGTGCTAGATAGATCTCTTCTCTACTTATCGCTAGTGTTCTGGTTGGTTTGGTTAATTGTTTGTCGCTCAAAAATCAATGGGAGCTAAATCGAGGTCCAAGGGGTGTTGGGCATGGCTGCTGGTGCTGGTGGTCCTGGCTCTCGTTGTTACTGCCATTGTCGTCGCAATCGTAAAGAAAAAATCTAACAGCTCCGACGACGACGACGGTCCCGTCCCCGGCCCTCCAGGCGCCATTACCCAGAAATACTCTGACGCTCTCAAACTCGCTGTGCAATTCTTCGACATTCAGAAATGTAAGCTAGGCTCTCTCTTTCTTCTTTTTTCATTTTGAATTTACAATGTGTTCAATTGCTTTACTAACTGTCCACTTGATTCACATTGTTGTAGCATCACCCAATACCCCAATTGCTAAAATTGGTATAGTTAGTGTTTGATCTTTGTATTGCTCGCTTTCTTCTTTTACATTTCGAAATTTTGCAATGTTTTATATTTCTTTACCTTTCTGTTGATTCACATTATTACTATTACCAATACCCAATTGCTCAAATTGGTTTAGTGTTTGATCTCTTCTCTAATTTGCAATGCATTAACTTCCTTAGTAACTGTTGAGTTGATTCAAATTATTACTATTAACAAATACCCAATTGCTAAAGTTGGTATAGACTGTAGTCCTTGATCTTTATTTTGTTTTTTCTAACTAAATTTTATTTGTGGGTGATTGTTTAGCGGGTAAGTTGGTAGATAATAACATATCATGGAGAGGGGATTCGGGTCTGAAAGATGGAAGCGATGAGAAATTGGATTTGTCCAAAGGAATGTATGATGCTGGGGATCACATGAAGTTTGGTTTTCCAATGGCATTTACTGCCACGGTGTTGTCGTGGTCGATTCTTGAGTATGGGGATCAAATGGATGCGGTGAATCAGTTACAAACTGCCCAAGGCTCCCTCAAGTGGATCACTGACTTCCTTGTTAATGCTCATCCTAAAGACAATGTGCTCTATATTCAGGTTTCGTCTACCACTCTTCAAACCGTTCCCATTTCTGTTTCTTCCTTATGCTTGCCCATTCCCATTCTATATTCAGCATTGTATTGTGATACTGAATTCCAGGCTAACTGTAGGATTTTTAAAAGGGTCATTTGTTTGATCATTTTCCAAATTTAGTGACGAATATTAGTGTTTATTGTGGAATAAATTGGGGAATGTTCCTTTTGGAACCTACAATTGTGTAATGATTCTGATAAAGTACTGTGCTTAATGTTGAACCATTTTCATTACAAGTAATGCTTCTGAAGTGTGTCTTCTTTACCAATTTATACTATGGGGCAGGTGGGTGACCCTAAAAAGGACCATGATTGTTGGAATAGGCCAGAAGACATGACTGGGAAGCGACCACTCACACAGATCAACTCATCTTCTCCAGGAACAGAGGTTGCAGCTGAAACTGCAGCTGCCATGGCTTCAGCATCTCTGGTCTTTAAGAAAAGCGATGCCACATATTCAGCCACACTTCTTAAGCATGCCAAACAATTATTTACTTTTGCCGACAAAAACAGAGGCTCTTACAGTCAAAGCATCCCTGAGGTCCAGGAATTTTACAACTCAACAGGATATGGAGATGAGCTTCTGTGGGCAGCTGCCTGGCTTTACCATGCAACAGGGGATCAGTCATACCTTGATTATGTCACAGGGGACAAAGGAGAAGCGTTTGCTCAATTTGGTCAACCGACATGGTTCAGTTGGGATAACAAGCTTGCAGGAACCCAGGTGTGCTGAGAACTATCCTTTCTTTCTTTTTTCTTTTTTCCTTTTTCTTTTTTGGGGTTGTGTTTTGTCTTCTCATGAGTCATGACTGAGGTTCCTGAATTAAGATATCTGCATGCTGTGATTTAAACTGTTATATGCCACAGTAAAATGCAACTCACCCGAGAAACCTGCCATTCTATTGGGATACTGTGTGCTGGCTTGTCCTTAACTCCTGTAATGGGCTAAACGTATGATTTGACAATGTGTTGCTCTTCCTGTATTGTTTTTAATAGCTATATTCTTAGGATGTCCATTTGCAAGATACTGTACCATTATTCTGTAAGTAAAATTTTTCTCTCAGTCGTGTGAGCACTCTGCAATTTTCATGCAGGTTTTGCTATCCAGGTTGAGCTTCTTTGGTGGGAAAGACACCTCAGGCAATTCTGGCCTTCAGAAGTACAGGAAAACAGCTGAGGCTGTTATGTGTGGCCTCCTGCCAAACTCTCCAACAGCCACAACCAGCAGAACAGAGAGTAATTTTTCTTCTTTATTGTCATATTACTTGGATTATCATGCATATCTTTCCCTTGTTGGTTTTTAGAGTAAGAGACTTCCACCTGCTGCCCGGCTTCAAGATTGGTTATCCAGAAATATATCAACTCTTCTTCAACATTCCAATTCAATAGCCTCCCTTCCAGACAAATTACATTACCTTTTACATAGTAACTGACTGGCGGCTTTAAATCAAATAGGGAGTGATTAACACAATTGCTTCCTATTATGCAAAAGATAGTGATATTTCTCTTAGACAAACATGAAGCTCTAAACAGCAAAGATGTGTGAACATTTGCAAGCTAACAAGTGCATATCCACGGTTGGAAACATTATTTTATTTTCAATCTATCCTGGGCTAGTTTGCGTATGCTCCTAAGGGTCTGAATCATTTTGAGTTAGAATTATTCAGTTCTATTTCTGGCATCTCTAATTCTCCTTGGTTTTACCTTACCATCATGGTTGCAGATGGTCTGATATGGGTGAGTGAATGGAATGCTCTGCAGCATCCGGTTTCTTCTGCTTTCCTGGCTGCTCTTTATAGTGACTACATGCTTACATCTCGGACCTCAAAACTAGAGTGCGATGGAGATTCCTATAAGGCATCAGATATTCGGAAATTTGCTAGATCTCAGGTATGCTATCGGCTGAAGTATACTGTGCCTAAACCCTTGGAAACTGCTATTCCTTTACTAAAGTGTTCCTAAACTTTGTTTGTAGGCTAATTATGTGTTGGGGGAGAATCCCTTGAAAATGAGCTATCTTGTTGGATATGGGGATAAATATCCAAAATACGTTCACCATAGAGGAGCTTCAATCCCAGCCGATGAGAAGCCCAACTGCCGTGAAGGCTTCAAGTATCTTAATACAAAAGATCCCAACCCTAATGTAGCCGTTGGAGCACTTGTTGGTGGGCCATTCCTAAATGAAACTTACGTGGATGCCCGAAACAACTCGAGGCAAGGGGAGCCAAGCACATACAATAGCGCTCTCATCGTTGGCCTTCTGTCAGGATTGGTCACCACCTCCTCAGCAGTTCAATCATTCACCTAGAGACTAGATTTGTACGATACCATCTACACCCGTGTGTTTGTATTATATATTGTTCTCTCTGTATGCATGACCTGTTTGAATCGTTTGTGTAGAAAATTTAGTGCTGTAGCCTTTATTTGTTTGTTGTACAAACAATGATGAATTATGTGGGTTATCCGCTCATGATCTCAGCCTTTTGGTTGCTTGCGTAAACGTCAAGCTTCACTTTCACTTGTAACTCAGGCTGGACTTTGTTGAATTCCTTCGTGCCACGTTTTGTGGGTGGAATTGAGCTAGATTATTTCAATTAAACTAGGTAAAAGTTATGGTTGTTGTTTCATGGACTTATTAAATTGGATAATAATTCAACATATTGTATCTTACAAATTTCACCTTGAAGGACGAGACTCATAAAAATTGACTTGGTGACAACTTCAATCTAATTCAAACTGGACCATCAAATGGGGCCAAGAATTATGAAAAGTTTTGAATTAGAAGCACATGGGGTCAAGCCTCAAGTGTGACATAATTTCGATTCCTAGGTTTTGCCTAAAGAAAAGGTAAAGTTGTGAGAGTGACTGGGGACATTATCCACGAACAGGAATTGTTACAGAGTCAGTCACATGACACCACCGAGTTGATGTTTATCCAAATTTGGAATTAACCATGCGAAGACTCAAAAGCAAGTTCCCTACTTCTCTCCTTGGGTCTCTGTCAGCCCAACTCCTTAGGGCAAGTCCAATGGTAGGCTCTAAAATAGGCTCTGAAAATGGTGGATAGAGTCCTATTTAGAGTTTTGATGAAATCTTTCGAGCATTAAAGGAATCTTTTCCACAATGGAAACTTTATATTTGGAGCTCTAAATGTTTTAATTTTGTAATTTACATTCTAAATTTTTTTGTTGTCAATTTATTTTGTGTTCATGAATGTTTACGTTATGTTAATTTTTTTTAAAAAGTAAATTTTGGATGAGATTCTGAAAAATAATATAAATTGAAAGCAAACACAGGGAAACAACAAACTGTAAATACAAAATACAAAATAAAAAAAGTAACAACATCCTCGGCAGCCTATAAAAACAAAAACAAAAATAAGCAAAAAGGGGTTGCCAAGGAAAGCAAAAACACACAAGGTCAGCTAAGGAAAGCAGATCCGGGTGAGTAGGCATGGGGAGCTGCGGAAGCGAGTGAATGGCAATGCCTAAAGTGGGCTTCAGCTTTCCACGTAGTGAGCCCCGCTTGATTTCAGTGACTTAAACCAGAGCCATATGCATGTATATGGAGGTGGATGCAACCCTCTGCCCAAGCTTGGGTTTTTAAAGTCCCAACTTGCTCCTATTGGGAATGACTTTTTGACCCCAGTGCTAAGTCCAAGGGTGGTGCAACCCCATTTAGAGCCTTCATTGGTTTTGCGCTTATGAGTTCCTTTGGGACAATTTCACATTTACATTCTCACATGTTCAAGCACGTGTGGTGGATTTTCAAACTTAACACGTGGGCAATACAAATTGAGTGACGTAGAGCACGTGTGGCCATTGGACTTTCACACGTGGACAACCCTACTCCTTATAACCCTAAGCTAGGTCCTTTAACTTTTTAACGTGGAACAAACACTCTTAACACGCCCCTGCACGTGTGGCGAATTTTCAAGCATAACACTTTGACAACATATACATTGGGTGACGTGAGAACACGTGTAGCCGTTAAGCCCAACAAGTAAAACATGGCTCTGATACTATAAAAGAAGTTGAAGTTCTACCCCAAAACCAATTGATCATACGAGGAGTAGCCCAATTCCTTATAAGCTCTTGCTAGATTTCTCAACCTCCACATTCTCACAAAAGAAACACTTACATGAGACGGGGATAACACTATTTTGCTATCCCTGACCAATCACGATATATCACATGTGATAACTTTTCTACATGACAATATGTGATTGATCGAAAATAACAAAACAGTATTATTCTAATTTTATATAAGTTATTCCGCACAATTAAGCTCCCCCACCCCGCAGCAAGGACCAAGGTCCAATGCCCACGTGGGTTCTCACAAGTTCACTGTCCCTAGGCGATTAGAACATCCATGGCCAATATAGCAGCAGCACCATCATAGAAAGAAAGAGAGAGGGGCCACTGCCCGGCCACCTAGTTTCTTCCTTCCACCATCACCATAGCTTTTCTCATTCCTTTTGTACATGGTACGGTCCAGGGCAGGTGTCCTGTCCACTACTCTGCATAATGAATCAACCCAGCCTAGTCACCAACCAACCCACCAGAGTCCACCACCCAAAAATAATCTCCACCTCCAAAGACTCCTCAAACCACTCACTCACTCACAACAAAAGGATAAAGTTGACAAAATATAAACAGCTTGGTTCATGAGTAAAATCCTTCTACTTCTTTGTCATTTTTCTTTATAGAAACTATATTGAAAACCATATTGAAGGGAAAGAATCGAACACATGAACTCATATAAATAAATTCTTAATTATTGAAAAGAATTGAACACATGAGCTCATATACATCGACTTTAAGTCACTTGAGCTCATAAATATTGAAATGCTATGTCTCTCTCTAGTACACTGATAAAGTGTAAGAACCAAAATAATGGTGAACTTATTTGGTGACAATCAATTTCCAATACTTAAAAGAATTTAAAGGGCATCCTCCCCCTTCTTTTTTTTCTGCTTGTTGATCTTTATGCCATCACTATCACTCGCTTTATTTTTTTCGTCAACTTGCAACAGCCCATAAACTCTTGAAACTATAATATAAATTAAACTAATAAAATATACAAAATATCATAAATCACCGACATGAGGAATTAGAAATCAAATCACAGGTATTGTGATCCAGGTCAGATTCTAATTGACAAATTAAATCAAAAATTCGGAAGAAAAAAAGAAATTCAAAGCATGATGATCCACAGCTAATTAAAACAACTGTGTTGTTGGCACTTTTTTTTTTCTTTCTTTCCCCTAATGGAGCTCCACATCTACATATGGGGGGGGGGAACTGCTTTGCTTGTGTGTATCTTAGAAGAAATCTGCTGTAATCTAAGGGTCATAAATCCTCCACGACATAGTCATGGCCTGTATAATATAATTGAAGGGCAAGTTTGTCAACGAGCAATGTCTGACTTTGCAGTGTACTCCAGATGTTGCTCCATCTCCCAACTTAGCCCAGAATGCTTAGGAATATATTCCTGGTTGGACAAATCAAACCCATGAGAAGAAATCCAGATCCCATCCTACATCATTTTCCGTTAACAATAGCTAGCCACGTGTTAATTAAGATATTAAAATGCACCTCTAGTTTGCACATAAGTTCCTGGGCAGTTTGGGCAGAGACAATAATGTGACGGGCTGCAGGGTCAATGAAACCTTCATCCACAGCCTTGTCTATGAAAGATAGCAGTGAATTGTAGTAGCCATCTACGTTCAACAGCCCCACCTGCATTAAAAATAATTAACTTTCTTAATCAGCCCCTAATTATCTAATTTAGTTGAGTACTAGGAGGATAGCTGAATATCTTGTATCTTACTGGTTTATCATGAATTCCCAACTGAGCCCAAGTGATGACTTCCAATAGTTCTTCTAAGGTTCCATAGCCACCTGTTAACCAACATCAACATATGGAATATATGGATGATTAATATATAATCTGAAACTGAATGATCAATGATGTGTGTGCGCGTCCAATGTCCATAAACAACTTTAAATTAAATTAAATTAAATTAAATATATTATGAGGTTTTTGGATACCTGGTAAGGCAATAAATGCATCAGCTTGGCGGGCCATTTCTGCTTTGCGTTGGTGCATGCCCGATACAGCTCTTACTTCTCCCACAGGCTCTCCTGTGATCTGAGATTATATATATACGTTGAGTTTTGGGATTTGATTTGAATTATAAACTTGATCTTACTTAATCACGCTTATACCAGTAAGAAATTGAAATATTACCTCTCTTGGCATGAGAGTCCTGGGAATTACTCTGCAAAAGAAAACAAAGTTAAAGAGATTAATTATAAAGAAAATCTTACAGGCAGGCAGGCAGGGCAGGGCAGCTGAGAGAGAGAGATATAGCAATTGGGATAACTTACCCCAACACGTGGCGACCACCATCATAGACAGCTTGGGAGACCTGACCCATCAATCCAATGCTTCCTCCTCCATAAACCAAGTCAATGTTTCTTTCAACCTGCAATATTTCTTTTTATATTAGTAAACAGACGTGCCTCAGTTCAAACATATATATAATTACAAGAGACCCAACATTTACGCCATCATTCATAAATCACTTTATGATTGTTTATTCCTTAATTCCTTGAGGAAATATCCAATCATCACTTTTCTCAATTATTCATCATCCACTGTTCCAACCCAACCCAACCCAATCAGAAGACACTAGAAAGATTACTATTTTTTATGAATTCGGACTAGAAAGATTGAATTCAAAGCCAAACCAATGGCTCAAAGTTCAAAACCCCCTCAGACCCAATTGAAAATGCCTTCTGGGTACCTGAATCTTCGATTAACTTCAAAAATGACACATAAATATCAATTCTTCTTACAGATTACGGGTTCTGCTTATGAAGTTATGAGCTTCATTCAATATGTGAAAGGGAAACAACAATAAAGCTATAAGCTTTAAAAAGAGTAAGAAGCAACAGTACCAGTTGTTTGCCAAGTTGGATAGCAGCAAGCTTGTAGCTTGGGTTCTTCCCAGGACTGCTACCGCAGAAAACACAGATACGCTTGAATCTTGATTTCATTGGAGCCTGTTGTTGTTGTTGATTCTCCATTAGAGGGAAGGCCTGAAACCAATATGGTTTTCTTTGCAGAGAGAGAGACAGAGACAGAGAGAGCCCCTTAACGTGAATGTGTTTGTTGTGTTCAACAGTCAGCCAGCCATCGCTATGAATTGAAAGCCATTGCCAAAAGTTGAGGGAATGAAATTGGTTCTATTGGTTCTTTTTTATATAGGAAAAAGAGGAAAAAAACGAATGCCCCACACATCACATCACATCTCTCAATTTCTCGTCTCGTGAGAATGAATTTCACGTTGATATTGACGCTGAGTTATTGTACGCTCCTTCATTTTTGGAACAGAATGACGGTATGGGATTATTCTTTTTCAATTTTTGCTTTAATGCCTGCTTTGTTTAGCACTTGTTGAATTGAAAGTATGAAAATAATTCAAAAGAAAATTGCAAACAAATAAACGAACGAGTTTAACAGAGGAATTTTGCCTTTAAATCCCAATCCCT